CACAAACGAACAAGGAGTCTCATCGTTCGAGCCGCTCATCCTGGCATGGAACATGGAACAAACATGTCGATAAGGTTGAAACACATAAGGAATGGGAGGCTGTGTGTTTGTGCATGTGTTTTGGCAAAACGCATTGACAACAACATTTCAACAAAGAACACTGACTGGATCCAGTGGCTGCTTCAATATGCGCTTGTTGCAGGGCGGATTGAAGGAGAAATGCTAGAGAACTATGCGAGGGACAGTCTTGGAGACCTTCAGAAATCATGACTAACCAGCAACTTGAGCGGTTGTCTATATATATAATATATTATATGTTTGTGTTTATGTAATTTTGTGTTTGTTGCTCCTTTTAATTTGCTGAGGTACCAAATCGGGTGCTCGGTTGCAGACTTGCGGCTCGTTTCATGGCACTGCTTCTGCAATACAGACACATGGAGCGAAGGGTGAGCCTTTCCCAAGCTATTCCAGTGTTTTCTGTCTCCTGCAGTCGATCTTGTTCTTTTTTTGCACGCCTTTCTAAAGTAGAAACACTAGTTGGGGGCCATCGTACATGCATGCGTGAAATTGTATATACACAAAAGCACAAAAGTGCCCTGCAGCACAAAAGCATGAGAATGAGCAAATGGGCCATAGAGATGGTTTCCTTTCTTGGTCAAGAAACAACCCGGGCCTGTCGTCTCATCGTCTGAATTCTCCACGAAGTTCATCACTGTGCTTTTGAAGACGGAGGATGTGGCCTTGCTTGGACTCTGTGAAAGGGGTTGCAAAGTGTGAGTTTTGCTGGATGTGCTGGGCTGGATTGAATGAGCGAAGCCAGTGAAAATGTGGATCTCGCCAGTGGCTTGGCGCCCAAGCTCTCCAGTTGCATATGCAGTGCATTCAGGCCTGTGAAACAAAATATTGCACAGCTCCGCATTGTTGTGAGGGTGACAATCAGTACGATATCTCTGTCAGGACACTCAAACAATCGTCTACAATAATAGCACATAGTATGCATCAATCATCATCAATACTTGTAGCATCATAGATGGCAACATAGAACAAACATAGGTTAAGCAACTTTCCGGCAAACAGTTTGGGCAAGCAGATTGCTTGAAGTCCATTCAAAGTTTAGCATAGAATAGATGGGTTCACGGAACATGTTTGTACTGTAATCGTGATTTTTTGAAGATGAACCTGGCCAGCCGGAATCGCCTCAGTTGTGTGTTGCGTGCGTAGCATCGCGTATAAAACATGGAACAACTGTCCCCCAGTTTGGACAAGTTTAGCCATTATGACAATGAACACCAACTGCCTTCTTGCTGGCTAAAAAACCCCCAATGGGGACACACACACACACACTCGAGATATTGCGTACCGAACTGAATGCCACATGAGTTTGTGAAAAAAAACCGCTACCTTTCCCTATACCACTTTTGACATTTTCGTTTTTCTTATCGTTTTACAGCACTTTGACTAACACTGCAACAAATGTGGTATAATGTAGTGTGTGTGCACTACATGCATGTGGTGTGTGGAACCTTGCAGGCATGAAAACATTATGCACGTTTCATTCCAACTACGCCCATGTGGTGGCCTGCCTACGGAAAGGTGTTTTAGGTTCGCTGTGTGATCGTTTTTGTTATCGCTTTGTTATCGTTTTCATGCCTGGTGCAAGTTGGAAAACCATGTGGCACAACAATGCTTTAGCACAAGGCTACAGCTGTCCAAACCCTCCCAATTTGGAACAGTAGTAGGTTTTCTGTGTGTGTGCACGCGTTTTCTTCACACCACGTCTCGCATGTCAAGGGTTTTCCACAAGAGTCATCGGGGGTTATCGTTGTTTCTTCCTTATTGGTTTACAGGGGGAGTGAGTATGCTTCCAGAAAAACGGAGATGCGAGCACTAATTTCTTACATGGGGGGTTTGATACTATCTCACATGCCACATGCCCACCTAGGTATGAACGCCTAAGGGTTCCAGGAAACATTTCAAAACTCCAAAAGTAAAACACTAAAGGTCATGGTTCAGGTTCCCGGGCGCGACGACGTCGACGACCAGTGCAATGGCCCTTGACAGCAGCAAAACCTCTTCATCCTGAAACAGCCTCCAAGACTCCAGAAAGGGATCGTATACTGAGGACTAGTGACCCCGGACTTGTCGGAGATAGGCGAAAAAAGTGAAACCTAAGTCATCAGGAAAAAACTTCAAAATTACATGTGTTCAAGTCCTATGTCATCAGGCACCGCTCTGGGAAAACTTGCCAAAAACATCCTTTCTTGGCATGTTTTTTGTTGATGCTCGGTAGCTGGTATTCCACATAACGTGCGTGCTTGGCACCTCTCCAACTCCTATATCAGTGTTGCACTCTGGGAGTGTCCCTCTGCTTTGCTGTGGTTTGTGCGGTGACATGGGAGTTGCGGGGGATACTCCTGACTCACTGTCACTAGCACCCACTACTCCTAAGTCATCTGCGCTCAGTATAGTTGCAAAACATAACAACTTGCAGGTACATCACATCAGGTTGATCAGACCTGGCTTCCCCGATCACGCATAATTCGTTGGCATGCGTTTGCGTGATGGCCGCATGCCCCCTGCTGATCAAAAGCTAAAAAATCAAATGTAACGAATCAACGGATTCTCTGTGATTCTAAGGGTTTCACACACACGCCTGACACACGCCGCCCACGACGGGAGGCAAAACCAAGGGTTTCACACACACACACACACACACACCCACGCGCGCGCGCGCGCCCCCCCAACGTCGGGGGGGCCCAAAAACTAAGGGACTGACAAATGTGCATGGGCGCGCGCAAAAAGGACAAGAGATGAAGACATGAAAAGAGGACACGACAGGACAAAGGTGCAAGTGGTTGCGATGAAGGGGAAACCAAATGACCAGGGAGAAACAATGAAAACCTACCTCATTGTCAAGACCTGGGCGACCTGAAGCCTGGGTTAAAAGTACGCACGCGCGAACACCTAAGGGCCGGACCGGTGCGCGCGCAAAAGAAAGAAAGAAATGAGATGACAAAACGTGAAAGCGGAGAAGACATGAAAAGAAAAAGGAAAAGAAGAATGTCTGTAGGGGAAGGATGAAGAGGGGAAACAAATAGAGGGGCCGCCAACAACGAAGCCAAGCCTCATTAAAACGAACCTGTGTAAACCTGAGTTTGGTAGGTATGAGTTGTGTGCGCACCTAAGGTTGGGACAGACCCCGCTGGGTCTTGAACAAGCTTCGGTCGCAGCGACCTCCTCGTGGCATAAGCCTACTCGCGTCTGCTGTGGACACGTTCTGGCGTGCCCTGGGGCTGCCTGCTCGGCCGCAACAGTCCGTCAAATCTTGACAAATAGCTTCGGCACAAGCCTACTCCGTCCGCTGTGGACACGTGCGTTCCCGAGCAAGCCGAGACAAACCCCTGTTCGACGGGGCCACAGGGGACACTCCTCGGGTACACCCTGGGCTGGCACGAAGCCAGACACATTCGAGATAGTGTACTGAACTGAATGCCACATGCCACACGCCCACCTAGGTATGAACGCTGAAGGGTTCGAGGAAAAGGCTCAAAGCTCCAAAGGTAAAACGCCAAAGATCATGGTTCAGGTTCGCGGTGCAAATCCAAAAGGCGACGACGTCGACGACGAGTGCATTAGCCCTTGACAGCAGCAAAACCTCTTCATCCTGAAGCAGCCTCCAAGACTCTAGAAAGGGATCGTGGTTACAAAACATCACAACTTGCAGGTGCACCAGGTTGATCAGACCTGGCTTCCACCATCATGCAAAGCTTCGCTGGCGCTGCGTTTGCGTGATGGCCGCATGCCGATCAAGAGCTAAAAAGTCAAAGGAAACGAAACAACGGATTCCCTGTGATTCGAAGGGTTTCACACACACACGTACACTCGGGAAATGCATACTGAACTGATCGCGCCGGGCCCCAAGCCCTGGAGAAGCCTCAGTGAAAAAATTGCCTGTGCAAAACGGGTACTGTAGTATGTAATGCGGTCAGACCATCTCGAAGACATGAAGTTCCAACACGTTAAAATCCTCCAAGTTGCAACTGCAAGTCGGTCAGGCTCATTCGCACTTTAATGCAGAACCGAAGCCAAGAAAGGAATCTTGTTCTAGCTAGCGAAAAGCAGGGACCAATAGGAAGCGTCCATCAGAACGGGCAGGTACAAGTGGTTGATCAGGCCACTCATCCACCGAAATGCAATTATGGAGTGTTTGACCTTGGCCAATGCCAATGCTTATAATAATCTATTCTAAGCCTTATTTAAGCAGTTGAGCAAAGCAGAATGTTTTCAAAGGCAAGTAATTTCTATAGATCAGTAGATCTTGGACACTACTTCATTGTAAGGCTTTCTTCTGGCGCAGAGTGATTTGTTTGGTGATGATGGCTATGACCCCTGGAAGGTCATGATGATGAGATCATCTACTGCAACTTCAAGACTATTTTTGGTCATTGACAACTGAATTGCTTGTTTGAAGACACCACTGAGCACAGTGTGAAACACAGAAAAAGGCTGCAAAGAGCTGCTGATTGGAAGGGATGGAGCACCAACAGTGTTACAGGGAAAATGGTAGGATATTGAAGGATTTTTGAAGGATTGACTTGGGATTGAGTTGGGGTTGAGTTGGGGTTTGTGAAGGGTTTCTGAAGGACTGATATAAGGCCTACCAAAATTGAAACGATACCGTTTGAAGCGGTATCCATGGCTCATCTTTGACCATAGCTTCGTTGGACTGGATAGGCAAATCGGCTCCAGTCCCGCCCCGCTTGGTTTGAAAACCAAAAGGTTCCCTTTGATTCCAAGGGTTTCACACACACAATGTTGAAGGAACCACCACCTTGAAAGAACTTTAGCTAGATTTAGATCCCAACACATTGCAGTCCCAGGAAAGGAGGTGTGCCTTTCGAGGATGCTCGTCGTTGCTCAAGCAGGAGGTGTCGCTGGTTTTCAGATAGAGCCTTTGCAGTTCGCGAAGCTGCGCAAATCAGTCAGAGAGTCCTTGCAACTCATTTCAATGCAATCTGGCCCCGATGCAGACATGCCATGCTGTTCTTCAAGTACGAGTTGTATCGATTATGATTATTCAGTTCAAAAAAAATGAGTTGACTCGAACACAAAAAAGACTCCGCCAGTCGCAGCTCTTCATCCACTTCCCATAGGGTCCATGGAGGTTGACCAAACTTTGCACAACTGATTGGAAAGCCAGGCATCAAAATACAGCATGGGTAGCTGCACTGCATCATCTGGAGAGCAATTGCTGGTAAGATTGTGTACTCCCTCGCCAGGTAACAAACGCCTACAAGTACTACAAAACGGCAAGCTTCTGCTAAACATATCGACTCCAGGATGCGATGTTTCATGCAAGCAAAGCCCCTTCAGGGTTTGCCAAAGCTCTTCCTTTGGAAGCGCTGAAAAGCTCAAAGAGGCCTGAGAACCCATGTTTCTCAACATACAGAGGCCCTGATGGAGCGCCAACAAGAAGTTATCTTTTGGCCACTCTTTCAGCTGACAAAGAAAAGGGCTTCTGCATGATGAAAATGATTCAAAACGTTCCTCTTCTTGAGGTCCATGATCAAGCTTTGTACCTTTCAGGAGGTCAACATCGAAGACTTACAACCACAATACATATCTCAACTTGAGAGAGTGTGGGAGGGAGGGAAGCAAAAGGGCACTTCCTGCTGCCAGTGGCGCGTCCTTTGTGAACTTGAGCATGGTACCTCGCCAAACGCGCTGAGCCATCACCAAATTCCTTTCATTGTATTTCACTACTTCATGGAAGAATATTGCAACAAGGCCAGGAAATTCGGAAGTAACGACCTCAACGTGAGGCTCCATAAGCCAGACTGATGCGCACTTTGAAGGCACCTCCAAACACAATCGCTGAGATGTACTGTCAGCATCCTTTCTATTGTGAGTTGTTGCGAGTTGCCTAAATCAATTGCTTAGATAATCTATCATATATATATAATGTGCGTTAATATGCACAATATCTTAAACATCAAAAACCATATGCAAAGCCAATTATGACTTCCTCATTCTTCCAGCCTCCCATGCGAAGACCATCCCATCAGAACCCGCGGTGAACAAAGATTTCCTCGGGCGCACTCTCTTCTCCAGTGGGTTACTACACTATGCGTGGTACAGTATGCCAGGTACTCAAACAAACTCTCAACAGCCTTCAAAGCCTTTGCACTTTCATTGTTGAGCTTTTTGCGTGCCACCTGCTGATTTGATCAGGGACAAATCACTTCGTTACAGTCGTAGAATTATTGTTCCTCTTTGAAGAAATCTTCCTCCCAGGCACCAATCATGGCATGGACATCCTGAATATAGAGTATCAAGATGCATCGAGTGCGAACTGCCCAGGTGTGACCTAATCTACTATTCACACCAGAAAGAGGATGTGCGGGACCTGTCTGAGGCTGGGACTGGTCAGGAGACCATGATACATCGCGTATCCAAGCCTACAAATTCATTCCCGCGCGCTCTTTCACTTTCACATTGAAGTTCACTGCTGCGAGACATCTACTGTCAAGAAGTGAAGCTCAAACATGCAGTAGCTTCAAGGAAATAGCCGAATGCGTAGCACAAGTCTTGATTGCCCGCCTCATGGGCAATAAATTTGGCCAGCAGAAGGGGATTGAAGAGAGACCTGGAAAACACTAATAGCAGCGCAGCCCCTAGTAGCACCTACCTAAGTTTTCAGGCAGGTAGAATCGAGCTTGAGCTAAATAACATGGTCACGCAGTAGCCAAGAAGCAGAGATTCATTATCATCAAATGCCATCAGTTATGTAGCTATGTGTCACACACGCTAACTTGACCAAGGTCATAGCGGAATCCAGATCCTCACAGCGCAATCTTTGGAGACACTGGCCAACAGCTGTCCATCCCTTGGCAAAGAACGAATGACAAACAGCGCTCGATTTAAAGGTGGTCATTGCTTTTCCCGGCAGTGCAAGCCCAAAGGTATAAGATTGCGAGTCCACCGGGCTTAAAGGGCCTCCAAGAGCAAACAAATTCAATAGGGCCTCCTGCCTCCGCAAACCACTTCTATCCCTAGTCACACTGGCAAGTAAACTAAATTAGTACTATCTGATGTCTTCATATGTGATCTCTGTGACCCTTTGACAGGACAAATAGCTTGATATATCTATATTAACGTACTTTGTAGCTGGATACAAATGATGCAGGCCCAGGCTACATTGCTGAACATGTGCGTTCTGCTTCCTAGCGGGTACTCGGGTACTATATGGCCTTAATCCTGTGCACTCTGCACATTTGTCCAAACATGAGCTGCAAAGGTGGCTTTTAATCTGAGACAAGGGCCCTGTGAACCGGACTCGGGATATGCCACCTGAGGGCATTATGCACCGCTACCAAAGCTCTGACCCAATTCTGCCCTCCCTGAATCCTGGACAAACAAGGGACTGAACCAAAGCAGGAAGGGACTAGAGGTATCATCCTCCACACTTGGTTTTGATACAAGTATCCACATGCACATGCTGATTATGCTTTGTAGCGTTTCTTTGATATACTTCGATATCTTGTCTTAGATTGCAGAGCCAAATGACAAAGAGTGATGTTGTTCGTGCACGTTTGATCATTTTTGTCGATAGCTCACATGTTGAATTGATCCTGAGGCTGCTCTTCTTCGGGGAGATCATCCAAAGTTATTGTCCATGATGTCCAAACACGGCCCGCCTTCATGCCCTTTGAGGGTGAAGTGTGCCAGGTTGATTCCCATCACCTGCACCACGTGCAATCGATCGAATCAAAGCATTCTCTATGATTTTAGAGCGGATGGCGGTATCATCTGGTCAGGTCTGGGAAAACAATGAAGGACCTACAGTTAGCCCACGGTTCGGCCCGACCAAAAACGGCTGGTTGTCTCATGCCGACAAAATGCACATGAACGAGGTTTTGGGCAAGTTCAAGGTTGCCTACGGTGCCTCAGGTATGCAAAGTGCCAGTGTTTCTCAGTCTGAATGCAACGCAGTGTTGCATACATAAGACTGTTGTGTCGCACTAAACAGCCAAGATTGAGCCACCTAGAAGCAGCAATACTGCCCACGACCTGCGTACAGAAAACCTACGTGCCTCAGTTCCTACGGATTGGGTTTCGCGTGGATCGGTGCACTGCTGAGGGTGGTTGGCATGTTGCTGCAAGCTGATCGGATCAGCCCTGAGAGTCACTGAGAGTAGTGGTTGATTCCAAACAACATGCGAAAGCACCGCAATGCTATGAAGCGCTCCTCCTACATATCCTAATACTATTGCACAAAGTGGCTAGTTAGTTGCACCACCTATTTCTTGATCTATTGGTACATCTGCCAAGAAAATATTCACAGTGCGTGAGCTCCCTGCACGCATCTTTGTCACAACCGCACAATGAACTGACAAGTTGTTCGGGAATATGGCTTCGGATGGGCATGGCCAAGACTGCTCTGCAACAGGAAAGGAAATTGTGGTCGTGGGATGCCATTGTCTCTCGATTTGAGAGGATTAGGTTTGATTTGCCAGCTGGAATATTTCCAACAAGCACAGTACCAGTGTGGCAGAAAGTCATGCAACACTTCCATCAATACAAGACCCGCCAGTGAGCTGCCTTCTCTCTGCTCATTCGCGCAAGTTGCGAGCTTGGCTCAATCTCAGCCAAGCAGTTGAAGGACAATAAACACATATGAACAAGCAGCACCAACAGCTACACGGGGCTGAATGCGCGACCCGTTTTACAATGTTTTACAGTACTTGCCACTGGCAAGTTGCCAGATTTGACTGATTCCAATGGAGCAGCCAAGGAGCGTCACGCAAATCCCAAAGGCGCACAGTGTGATCCTGACAGTCTAAATTGCTGGAATCTATGTCCAAATATATGCATCTCATCTCATTGTATGAACGCAAAGGAGTGGAGGCTTGATGTACAGTATATGTATGAGTGTCCTTGGTGTGAAGGCAGGGTTGAGCACTATGCAAAGAGGGGTGGTAACAGTTCAAGGCAGCCGGGAACCCCTTTAATAACCCTTCTGAGAGACTTTCTCTCAACCCTGCTGTTTAAGACAGTCTATATCTTTCATTCTGGAGTGTTTTTGCTTGTTCTTTCTCCGCATCTCTCACAAAACGTGCAGTGCCGACACAACTTTCTGCGAAAAGGCAAAACGGCGCAATTGGGTCCAACGGAATGAGAGTAACACGCGACACTGCATGTTGCATTAGGCCAATGTCTCCATAAAATTCCACGGACTGTCATTGTTGAGCTTGCACCACCGGCACATTCTTGGGCTGAGCGCAGTGCAAGTTGGGTGCGCAGTTAAATGTCCAAGACCGACTTGCTTTGAAGTTTGACGCAGCTCTATTTTATAAGGGCACGGTTTTTATTTGGCATGTTTCATGTGTCTGTTATCTTGTTCAAAATCCCGGGGCCTCACAACTCGCTGCTATTTACAACAGTTTGGGCGTCCTGTTGACAATCCTTTGGAGACATCCTTTACATCCGCAGCTGATGTCAGCAGTTGGGGCCTCCTCTAATTTTACCTGGCTCGCAAAAGCTATGCTATCTTGAAATGGTTCCTTCCTCCTCTAATTTTCCCTTCCTGATCCAAAATTTGCCCTTGTCAGTTGGCCGGCCCACAACAGGTATGCTACCTTGGAAAGACTCTTTCTTCTGCTAGATGTTGCCTTCAGCGGGTGGCCAAAAGGGTATGCTACCTTGGAATGGCTCCTTCCTGCGCTAAATGTGTTAGATGTTGCCCCTAGAGAGTGCATTTGAAGATCTGTATTTGTTCCAGCATCCTTAAGCAACCTCGCCACAAAAAAGAGCCTGAGAGACTGAAGATGTTGTAAGGGACAGGCGGGACAGGCTTGCTTTGGATGCCAGCCTAGCTGCAGCAAAGGAAACAATAGGGAGCAATGATGAGTCAGCTTGAGAAGACGCACCACAAATTTCATACATATACATACATACATACCATACCATACCATAGCATACATACCATACCATACATACCATACCATACCATACCATACCATACCATACCATACCATACCA